TAGGAAGAAGGGTCCTAATCTACCTAGGCATTAATATTTTACTGGGTCCCACCATAGTCAAATGCAAGCAACAACTGGCAAACCACAGGGGACATCAACTTCATGCCAAATAATAAAACAAAGCTGAACTCTGAAGACCACTTTGAGCTTAGTCTTAAACATATACACAGGCCACTTTAAAGAATGTCAACAGTGGTGTAACAGCTGGCAGACTTAATTTTTATAAGGCCTCATTAGTGAAAACCTCCCCCAGAACAAAGATTATTTATTTGGGGGTAAGTTATCTGCTCAATTTGAATAGTTCACTCTGTCAATTAATTCCAGCATATAGGAAGCTATTTTTAAATGTGAATGCAGTTAGCTTAAAAAATAGGGACAAAGTCTATCATTTCTTTTTAAATAGCATAATTACATTTTTAAGAAGTACAACAAATGCTCAGAACAAATATTCAAAGCTGTCAACCTCATTTTTTTTAAAAATATCCAGATAATCTTAAAAACATGCAATTCTTTATAATCTTTGGGTCCAAATTATTAGCTTTGCAGTGTGTGGAACAATGTCTGGCCTATAGAAGTTGCTCAATAATTTTTTACTGAATAAATGGTAACGTACTCTCCCAATGATTAAAAAAACCTGCCAGTTACAATGAAAGTACTCCGTAATCATAACATCAAGGTCAGCAGTGAAATGGCATTCTTTTAGGCACACCCATCTCTTAAACTTTAACACCCACGATCAATATACCGCCAAAGGAAGTTCCAGAGCCAGAAGACTTTTGGGTGCTTTCCTTCAGGATTTAAAGGTGCAGCCTGAAGGAGACACTCAAGATAAGTAAGTTGAGAAATGTGGGTAATTTCTTTTGAGGACATGTAGAAAGGAAACAGAGGCATGGTTTATATAATGGAGCACATAAACTGTGACTTGCAATTTTCCTACGAACCTTCCTGAGGATAGCCTGATTTCCCTAATCTGGGAATCTTATAAAACCAAACTCAAAACGCATGTTTGGCTCATTCATTGAAACATGTGCTGATGACCTACTGTGTATTTTAGATAATATGCGGGGTGGTAGAGACACAGAAAGAGAAACAGGCCAAATATCTGTCCTCGAGTAAAGGCAGACTTGATATACCTTTCTAAAAAGCAATGTACTCAGTGACAAAGTGGGTGAAGGAGAACTAAAGTCACCAACTTACTTCCAACAGAGTAGAAGTCATTATATGCTCCTGATTTTAGCAGGCTGATAGACATGCCAAACAAAAAACCAGTGATCTTTCTTCTAGACAGTTCGAGATAGACACAAGAAACATGGGGAAAATTTAAAAGTCTGATTAAGAAAACATTCTATCACTTCTTTGGGAAATCATTTTGGATGGCAGACACCCTGCAAAATTCAGTTTGGGGTAGATTAAGTTGTTATAGATCAGTGTTTGTTTAGTGATTTCACACGGAGTAAAATCATCATTCTCTAACGGGAAACCTTCTTAAGGAGTTTTCAGTTTGCATAAAGACCAATATAATATTTGTGCAACAACAGAACCCCCTCCCCACATAACTGATTCTCTAAAGCAGTGCTGTTTAAAAGAACTTTCTGTGATGATGGTGTTCTTTATCTGTGCTGTCTAACACAGTAACCACTAGCCAGATGTAGCTATTAAGCACTTGGAAATACTGTCCAGCTCTAAAATCAAATAATTCATCCAGTTATGAACAAAATAAAGTTTGCTTTATTCATGTTAAGCACAAGACAAAAGGCATCCAATTAACCCTGGAGAGTGATCTCTAAGGTAAAAAGAAAAATGTATGGGTTGCACAAGTCAGCAGCTTTTTGTGGGAATGGCTGAATCACAACAGCTCTTGTTACACCACAGTGGGGAACTGAGACTCTGCCCTAAGGGTAGAGGTCTAGTGGGAGATTCTGAAGTAGGGTGATCAAGGTCTACTCTAAGTGAGTTTTTAAACAAAACATACTAGTTTTAAAAACTATATAAGAAATGGGGAACTACTAAAGAAATCCAAACCATGTCCCTTTATTTTGCTATAATTAGCAGACCTTGGGGAACTGGATCTGCCACAGTGAAGTTGCTACTATTTGTCATCTCTGCTCTGGTCCCGTTCGGCACCTTGGGGTCCTGTATCTGTTTAATGTTTCGCGCCCTCGGTCATTAGTTGTGCAGGCAGCCCATGATTTGATTTATATTTTGCTGTTCTGCTTCTTCAATGCCATTTAATAAACATTTTTAATCTTTTCCACTTTATTCTATACTTTCTGGCTGGCACATGTAACATTTAAAGGAGAAAGCAACAATATACCTTTAGGGAGAAGTAAAGGAAATTCACAATTACTAAGCAAGGAGAAGTAAAGGAAATTCACAATTACTAAGCACTTCCGTGTACCAAATACTTCGTCTGCCAACAGTCCTGTGAGGTAGATGTTATTATTCCCTCATTTCAGATAAGGAAACTGAAGCTCAGGGATATCAAATGACTGACCCACACCCACAATCATGCAGCTGGGCATTGACACAGCTGTGATTCGAACCTAAATCTGCCTGACCCCCAAAACCCATATTTTTTCCTATGTTATACTGTTTCCTAAGACCACTTTACAATATAAATTTCAGAAATAAATTCCACAGTAAAAATGATGGTAACCCTGAACTTTCCTTCCTCAGTTTCTTCTGTTTATCCATCCTCTATCTCATTTAAAACAAAAAGAAAGAAAGAGAAAGTAGTCTTTATGGAATGGTTCCGGAATATTTAAAGGAACTATAGCTATTGCATCAAGAGGTTTTGTTTCCTTCCAGTTTCTAAACACACACACACACACACACACACACACACACACACACACACACACATACATTTTTAAGCCAGAAGGGCTTTAAATCATAAAAAAAATTACTCAAAGGGGTAGTTTAAAAGTATATTCTTACAAATGGCTTGTTGAAAAGTATTCAAAAAGGTAAGTTTCAATGCCACTGTTAGGAAAAACAACAACAAAACAAAAAGCCCTCAGCTAGTAGAACCAATGGAGTCAATCCGGTTACTCAGTTATTAATTTAACTCTCGTAGTAAAACCTTTCCAAAGAAGCAACTAACTCCATACCTTATGGTGTCAAGTACACAGCCACTTAAGCACTTAAGGAAAAGTAGTGAGTATTTCATGGGCATCACATACTTCGAAAAGTAAAGCAACAGATAGAAAGAAAGCTACTTTTTGATTAGGGCATCTATAACCTAGTATTTTTGCACTCTAAGTAATCATAATCTTAAAAAAAAAGTCTTAAATTCTGTGTCTGAAAGCAGATGACTTAAAAAAAGGGACACAGCTGCAGTCCTTTAATACTTTGCAAGAATTTAGTGGTTAGGATCATCATTGCCCAGTGGTTAAGATCAACTGGGTTCCTTCCAATCTTGGTTCAATACTTGCTGATTCTGTGACTTTGTGCAAGGAACTTAGCTTCACTTTCCTCATCTGAAAAATAGCAATAATAATCCATAAGGCTGTTGTGAAGATTAAATGAATTAATATATGTGAGGTGAGGCACTTGGATTATTCATGGAGGTAATGCTCTATTTCTTCTACCAGTCTATGTAACTGAGAAAACAAATGAAATAATTAACTTTAGCTGATGTTGGCTAATGAAAAAACTTAAAGAAGAGACTGTATAAGATACCACACTATTAGTAAAAATTCCTGCATATTTTACTAAAGACATTGTGAAAGGTATTTTGGTGTAGTAAGAATGTCTGAAATATAACTCCTGGTACGTTATACTGTCTAAGGGCACACAGTAAGTAAATAGCAAATTTTTCATCTTGTAATATGCCTCATAAATGTAAAAGACTGATTAGCTGCTTGATTGACCCATAAAATCCAACTGGAAAATGGTATCCATGATGGTTGTTTGGGTAAACTGTACTATACTCTCCCCCATTCCCAGTTCATGCAAGGTTCTGGAACTTAGAATGGAAGTCTTTTCCTTACAGAATGTATTTTCAACTACATGTGGTTTATTATGACTGCGTTGCGCAAAAGGACAAAGAGCGTTTTTTCTACATTTTTCCTATCATTTCACTTCCAATGATAAGGATCTTACTTTCCTTGAGTCCGCTTGGCTCCAAGCCATAAATGTGGGATACATCATTGTTTCCTCACACTATTCACATCCAACTAACCACCAAGTCCTGTGTATTTTACCTTTAAATATCTCTCAAATCTGTCCACTGTCCCCCTACTTTAGTTTACGCCTCCCTTTCTCAGCTCTCTATGTGGCCCTGCAATAGTTTCCAACTACCAGATTTCCTGCTACCAACTACTTTGCTTCTAATCTATCCTTGCATGGCAGTCCACAGGATGGATGTTCTAAAATGCAAATCTAATCACATTATTCCTCTGCTTAAAATCTTTTGATGGTTCACTATCACAAATGGCAAAAAGTCTACGGTTTTAGCCGAAACTCATGATCTTGTCTAAGTCTCCAGCTCACGTTTCAACAATACTAAATGGTCATGGTCCCCACAAGCACCAAGTTGTTGGGCATCTCCAGGCTTTTGCTCATGTTGTTGCCTCTGGTTGGAATACTCTTCCTTCCCTCTGTCAGTCAGCTAAAATAGCTCAGATATTATCTCCAGGAAGCCTTCTTTTGACCCCTCCCCTGTGCAATACAAAAAATATTTCATGTGTATCTCTATCACTGCATTTATAATATACTGAAATTATAACAAGTTCATCTCCTCCCCACCTCCCGCCCCGGTGAGTCCCTCAAGGCATGGACCATGTCAGCACCCTTACCACACGGCACGGGGCGCATGGGAGTGGGTGCTCAACACATGTCTAGTAAACACCAAGATTTTTTTCTGATGTAAGTAAAAATTTATAATTCCAACTTTTGCTCAATGGAGCAATAAAACCATCCCTCCAGGGAAATACAGCATTTGGCTAGTGCATAAAAAGGCAAAGTTCAACTACTGCTTATGTGACATTTGTACTTACCTAAATTGCTGTATGTTGCACTACAAGAGCTCAGGTCCATAGGATCTGAAATGTCTTCTTTTTCCTCTTCCCTTTCCGCTTCAGGTAGGGGCAGCGCTGGTGTGGCTGAAGTAGAGCCCCTGCCATCTTGCTTCACAACAACAGTTCTTGGATCCCGAGGAGAAAAATCCTCTGTTGTCACTTCATGGGTCACATGACTGAAACAAACCAGACCACACTTGTTTGAATGTCACATTGGCATTCAAAGGCCCTGCTAAAATTTAGATTTATGGAAGGCATATACTTCCTATAAATGCAAATAACTGGCCCTATAGTCACAACAATGGTTCATAAGCCACAATATACCTGCCTAAACACAAGGCAGCCCTTTGTGCAGGCCAATACTCTATTTACCTTGATCCATACATACTGAGAACCCAGTATGATAAAGGAGTATGGTAGGCTCAGAGGGAAGATTGAAAATAACAGGCAAAGGGTGGAATTTTTTTTTTTTTTAGGTAGAGGGTGGTGATGGTGACACCAAAAAAACCAAACCTGCCACTGCTGAGTCGATTCTGACTCATAGTGACCCTAGAGGACAGAGCAGAACTGCCCCACAGGGTTTCCAAGGAGCAGCTGGTGGATTGAAACTGCTGAACTTTTGGTTAGTGGCCGTAGCTGTTAACCACTGCGCAGAGGGAGTTAAATGCCTGACTGGTTAAAGACAAATATACTAAAGTATTTAGTAAAGTACTACACTACACTATAGTACAATATTGTACTATAATACTATAGTAAATACTAAACACTTTATAGTATTTATTTAATATATGATATTTATTGGAGTCCCTGGGTGGAGCAAATGGTTAAGTGATTGGCTGCTAACTGAAAGGCTGGTAATTTGAGTTCACCTAGAGGTACCTTGGAAGAAAGGCCTGACAATCTACTTCTGAAAAATCAGCCATTGAAAACCCTATGGAGCACAGTTCTACTCTGACACACATGGGGTCATTATGAGTTGGAATCAACTCAATGGCAACTGACTTTTTTTTTTTTTAAAGGATTTACTAAAGTATTTAGTAAAGGACCAGGAATAAAGTTGAGATTAGAATATCTACATATAGAAGCAACTGTTTTAGTAGGTGAACTGAGGCCAGGAAGGTCTTATTGCCAACAAGACAGAAGCATCAGCCTTTACCTGTGTGCATGCAGCAGGCAAGGCAAATGGAAAAGAAAATTCCACGTTCCAGTTATTTTCATGTAATGAAAAGGAGTCTGAAGCACATACCATTATGGTCATACATAATGCTTTGTGTTCCCAATCTTGTTTCACCACTGCTCCTCTGCTTATGCTACCTTTTCCCATCTTCCCCAGCCCCCAGTCCGCCATAACTGTGCTAATTCTGTTGCTATCAAGTACAAGGGGATGGAAAGGTCGTTCAATGATGGTGGAGAAAACTGGCCTAGTTGGAAAATCTCAGTGGGCTAGTCAATGGAATAAATTCAAAATCAGGCACCTTTAAAGGCTTCTAGGTCCACTGAAAAGTGTCCCTAAGACCTTCACACACTCACCAGCTCTTCTTCCTGTTTTCTTTATGGGCAAAGGAAAAGAAGGAAAGGAAACATATACTAAAAACCAAAAAACCAAACCCACTGCTGTCGAGTTGATTCCAACACACAGCGACCCTACAGGACAGAGCAGAACTGCCCCATAGGGTTCCCAAGGCTGTAATCTTTACCAAGGCAGACTGCCACATCTTTCTCCCAAGGAGCACAGCTAGTGGGTTTCAATCGCTGAGCTTTCGGTTAGCAGCCAAGTGCTTAACCACTGTGCCACCAGGGCTCCTTTCTCATATACTATGTGTTATTTTTAGATTTTCAACCAGTAGTGAAGCATGGTGATATTTACAGGTTTTCTTTAAAAGAGGTACTTTGTTTGATCATGTGTCATCAGAAACGTGTATCACCTGTGGATTTGAGAGTGTAGATCTGAAGGAGTGCCTTCTTATCAACCTTTCATTATGGAAATTATGCATGTGACTGGACAGGAAAATAAGCCTTGAAGTCTGCTGGATACATAACTTCAAAAATGTTCTTTCAAAGCTGGCAGAGCTAGAGGCCTCTCTACACTGGGAGTCAGCAACGAGCTGGAAGTTCTGTTATGGGAGCTGGCTCTTGGGCACAGTGGTGAGGTGGGAAGGAATCACTTTACTAGCAGCCAACAGGGTGGTCGTGTAAAAGAGGCCTCATTCAGTAAAGCAGGCTGCCTTTTCACAATAGGCTGCCCCCAGTGATCAGCCCAAAAGTGGGGCTCCAAACAAAGCTGGTTTCTCATAATATGGAACATCATAAAATCAAGGTAACAAGGGGGCTCAACTCCCATGCATTAGCAAAGACAAAGGAAAATGACACTTGAGAGACATTCTTGGGTACCACTTAACATCAAGATCATGGAGTAGTTATCAACGTGCTCCAGGAGAGGAAAAATGCTCTTTGCTGGGTAAAAGTACATAAGCTATTTAATTTCAAGGCAACAAATATAAAGTGATTTAAAAATATCAGCCCCCTCAAGAAGAAAAAGATTAACATTTCAGAAATTCTCTTTTTATTCTCGGGTCAGCCTTAGGGGTTTCCTAAAAAGTTACCTTTAGGTTCCTAGTCTCTGCAACTTTGCTCCTTCCTACCTTTTCTCTTTATTTTCCAGAACCTCCTGGTTATTATGAAAAGAAAGATCTCCTTTCCTTTTGTCAAAAAGGGTTGGTGAAGGCTGGTTCAAAGCCATGATCCCACCTTCATGTGTCTGCTTTCCTCTCAGGGAATGGGCCATTTAGAAGGAGCCTCCGCTAGTGTGAAAACCACAGAAAGAGCTGCTGCTGTTAACCTGTGAGGAATTCCCTGGGTGCGGTGGTTAAGTGTTTGGCTGCTAACCAAAAGGTCCACCAGCTACTCCTTGGAAACCCTATGGGGCAGTTCTACTCTGTCCTATAGGTCGACTCAACGGCAACAGGTTTGATTTGGTTTGGTTCCCACATACATTCAACATAGCTCTGTGCTCCGAAGAACTTCTCAAAATAAAACATGTATGCTAAAAAGCAAGAAATATTAAAGACTCACCTACTGTACTCACTCACACAATTCCCCATTAAAGAAAATTCTCGCAGGGCCTTCTTGAGTCTGTTAATCATGTTCTGAAACTCTGATGAACCACAGCTCCCGCTGAGTTCTGGAAAGCTACAAGTTGGGCAAGCTATGAGCCAAAGGCTTGCATTCTGCACTTTCATATCACCCAGTGCACTTTAACCTTTACCTTAGGATTTGGTCTGGCAAATGGGCCAAATTACCCTTGGGGAGCTAGGCAAAGTGAAAGCTAGTTTTAGTAACTCTTTGAGGACCAGGGCAGAGACAGCAAAGCCTATATTCTAGATAAAGATTAGTTTTCATAAGCAGATTTTAAATAAGTGCACTGGTCTATTAAATCACCAATTAAAACAACTGTCAACTATCAACAAATAGAGTTGATGAAAATAAAATCACATGGATTTGCAAACGGTTGCTAAGATTTACAATCTGCGTTTACAGTGACAGCAGTGTCTAACTAAAGAATTTTTAAAAAAATGCATCAATGATATGTCACATCTTGATGCTTGAGGGAAGAACAGCTCCTTGTATGATTAAAATGGTAAAAAGGGGGGGAGGGGAGGGAAAGGTTCTGAGAGTTAAAGCTTAGATGTGGTAACATGCTATGACTAAAAAATGAACAAAAAATTGAGGGCAGCATCACAGAAGGTTGATTCAGTCATCATGTATAAATAACACAAACAGACCAATCGTCCAGGAAGAAATAAGAAAGTACAAATATAATTAATTGATCATTTGGCATATTACTTTTAAGAGGGGATTTAATTTTTGACCATGGAGTGTTTTATATTTAGACATAAAATCAGAAAACCCTCTCAAATAATAAGATGACATTTTGTAAGTATAGGCTTTATCTTATAAAGTGACACTTTACAAATATAGGTGGTTTGCCTCCAACATTTCACTGGGAAATTTTTAATGTAATGGAGAAAATATCAAAATGGGAATCAGAGAACTTGGGTTCTGTTTCTCTTTTACTTTGACCTTCTGAACAATCTAGGTGACAGCATCAGGAAGGAGATAACAGAGAAAATGAAAATTTCCCCCATTCCATTCATGGGACAGTTTGTAAAAAAATTTTTTTACATTAAATGGTAAATATATACATTATATATATATATACACACACACACATATACACTGGAATTTCTGATACACTATATCTTAGCACATCTCTTGAAATAGAAAATAATGATAAGGGTAGCTAGATTTCTTTTTCATCACTTCAAACAAAACTGTTAACTGATAAATGGTCCACAAAGAGAAAGCCTGGCTTTTCTATTTTTGCTATTTCAATTCATGTTGAAACAACTCCTAGCTCTATATTGCACGTAGGAAGTCTGTAATAACTACAACTTTCACCTCTAAGTCCTCGGTAGCAGCTTGGTGCAAACCCTGACTTAGCCAACTTTTTGTCCTGGAGCCTCAGCATTTGTTCTGCTTTAATAATGGAAGGCAACACACGTTTGACTGTACTTCAAACTCTCCAACCAACTTTTCATTAACAACCAGTTTTTAATTGAGATATGGTAGGTCTTACTTGAGAAAAAAACCCACAAGTTACAATCTCTATAAAGACATCTCATTTTCTGAACATACAGAATGAACTTGAGGTGTTCAAAGGAAACAGTAATATCATTACGGATTTGTGTGTTATACAAACAGATCCCTTGGTAGGGTTGTATCTCATCATTCTGCAATACTCATACATAATTCAAAGCCACAGAAGCAATATCCTGCGGGAAGCTCACTTAGCTCACCCAGGTGGTAGGATTAATCATTACACCATCAAATGAAATAATCCTTTTTGTTTTCGTGGTAAATTCATTCAAGACAGATTTTTGTAAAATTCTGTTTAATGTCTGACTGTATTTTTTAAAAAAGCAAATCAAATTCCACATTAGAACAGATTAAAGATGTTTATGTACCCAATATTTCCACAATTTTAATTTAACTTTATCTTCGAATTCAACCACCTTCATTCAGCTTCAAAGGGACAGTAAATGAAACCAGGCTTCTATAGAGAACATCTGTCTCTTGGGGCAAATGGTGTTCTAAATTCCTATTTGCCAGCTCTCTT